TCAGTGTTTGAAGTGGTAGCAGGCAGCTGGTCTGGAAGGCATCAGATAGGCACCTTTACATCTCTTAAGGCTAAGTCCTGTTTGCGCTTGTCCCCTTCCTGCCTGAAAGGGCACTTGGGACTGGTGACCTGGGCCAATGGGCAGTCCTCGGGAATCTTTCTGCAGTCATCACTGGAGCTGGATCAGCCATCATCTGAAGGCCTTCACCAAAAATTTCAGGCAAAAACCTGCCAGCTCCTAAGAAAACCCTTAGCACTATGAGCGAAGCTACTGTTAACATTCCTGTTCTCACTCCACAGCTTCACATGGATTTTGTCTGCTGTATAATTGCTCTCCGAGTGCTTCAGCTGACATTTGCAGTCCTGCTTGCCCTCCAGCCCAGAAGCTTTCTGTCAGTGCATTTTAGTGAGTTTATCTCTCTCTGGTTATATCCAATGCAATGTCTGTTCAGAGATGACCTACTTGAGTAGTGAATGTAATAGGAATTAAGGACACTTGAAGAAATGTTTTTTACTGCCTTAAGAGCTCTGTGTTTAAAAACAAATGATCACACAGGTTTGCTTCCATGCAGCAGGCTTCGTCATGCATCACACAGTTACAGAAGGCCTTAGCAAGTCTTTACTAGTTGATAGCTTTTAATCACTTTTCCCCTAAAGATGTAGGTGCCTTATCTGCAGTTGGGCATGGCATAATTGGTGTCCTGGGATTTCAGTCTTGGAAACAACCAGCATGGGAAGCCTTGTGTACCAAATGATCATCACTTCCACCATGGATACTTGCAAGAACCCAATTTCTGTCTCTGCTCAAGAGAGGATACTCAGGTATATCCTTGAAGTAAAGGGCCTCATGTGACACCAGATCAGAGTGCTACACGTTCAGATCAGATCACCGTCTGCAGAGCAGAAGCCTATGAAACACTGCACTCAGCATCTCCAGCACCCAGATCCCAAAACATCACAGTTAACGCTATGAGCTTGGGCTCAGTCCAAGGACTGTTTGCATGTGCTGGGAAGGGCCCTTAGATTTCCAGTAAAAAACCCACACACTTTTCCTGTTGGGGTAGGGACTGAGTTAAACCAATTTGGGCGATATGAAGTTTATCCATTTCCCACTGCCTCAGTTGCAAAACCAAGCATGAGACATCCTCATCATTAATGTCTCATCCCAGTTATTGCAAACATAGACCCATAGTAGTGCTGTTTGTCAACTCAACATTTCTTCTCACTCAGGCTTGTGTGGGATAAGGAAGTTGACAAAACAGATAAGCTATCTTTTTGGGAGTGTCCTTGGCCACAGTTTTAACTACAGAATTCTTGGGGGTCTCTTAACAAAATGACCCGTATGGTCATTTTGCTTTTAATCTTGGTTGGTTCCTGGTGGTAACTCTCAGATGCATCCATCACCCTGTTCTTCTCTTGTCGGTTATGATTTAGTCTTTAACATTTGTACCTATCATTCAAATCCAGCACATGCAGTGATAAGGAAAACTGTATATATAAATTTTGTCTGGAAAGGCTTGTGCAAAGTAGATTTGAGTTTCCTGAGTAGGGGGAAAAGGGTCTTTAAATTTCCTCTTCAAAAAAAATTCTTCCTCCCTGCCTTGACTCTCTTCCTGTAAGCTAAGGTGAGCTGAGAAGGGGCTGAATGTAGAGATTTGAGTCTTTAGCAGTTAGGTATCCCTGTTACTCAGTTTTATAGTCAATAGATGGTGCTCAAAAATAGAAAATCCCATACCATCTTCTATTAGTACTAGCGAATCACCAAATATTTGCTTTAATTGGGTTAATTTAAAGTAGAGAAAAAAAGAACAGAAAGGCCTGTCACAACTTCTGATGGTGACAGACAATTTTGGGGTGCCTGCATTTGCAGGAACCCAGCTTCAGACCTCTTAAAAAAATAATAAAAAAAAAAAAAAAGCCTGACTTTCAAAATGTGCACCCAAAAAGGCTCAGAAAAACAGATTCCCTGAAGATGGGCCAAGCAGGGCATCTGAGAGGAGGGGTACCCCCAAAAGAATCACTAGCCATGTTTGTAAACCACCTTCCTGTTTGTTTTGGAGAATATCATGGTCTCTGATGCCAATTTAAAATGAAGTACACTGCCAAATGTGGCTTATTTGGCTGCTGTAAACCCTTATTAGGCAGCTCTACCCTTACCCAATCCAGAAGGGGTTTGATGTCTCTTTATAAAATCTAACAAAGCCTTTCTGTGTGTTTGCCTGCTGTGTGGCTCCCCAAATCATCGCCAGCACTGCAACCTAGCATTCCAAGTCACCCCTCATTAGTAGCAAGCTCTGGCACGGCCACTAATTTCCCTGAGGAGTGGAGGGGAGCCCACTTGATGCCCTTGTTCAAAGTGCTGTGTCTTTGACTCCAGGCATGGTAAATCATTGCAAAGAGCCCCAGGACAGGATTGTTCAGGGAGTCCCAGTCAAAAACCTGGTTTTAAGTACTCCCTGGCTGCAACGTTTTGCTGGAAATGGTGCTATGCCTTTTCCCACGCTGAGACTTTGGTGGCTGAATGGAAGGATTCAGGATTAATTAATACTAATTAAGGGACTAGGCTAAGACTCAGAAAATTTTGATTCCTGACTCTGATACATCTCCCAGGCAAATCACTTATAAGAAGACATTGTTTCCCTTTGCTGCCTGAGCTCTGAAAGGGTGAAAAAGGAATAATCCAGGGTGGCTGTTTGGGACCTTGAGGAGTTTTCCAGTCCCTGCCCCTGCTGCAATACAGGGTGAAAGGCACCATGGTTGTTCCTGGTGCCTTCTTGAAGAGCCCAGCACTGGAGGTGCCAGTCTGCCTGGACAGACCTTGACTGATATGGGGTCTCAGGTGAGAGGGGAGGGTCAGGGTTAGAGGGGACGTGCATCACCCTCGTGGGCAGTGTGGGTTTCTGCATCACCTTGCAGCCATGTCTGTGTGGTTGGGCAGACTCCCCCCGCTGCGGAGGAGGCTCTGTCCACCCTTGCAGCGCCTCTGAGGCACCCTGCTCCTTGCATGGAAAGGGCATGACGAAGAGTGGAGGAGATACTTGTAGAAAAATATATGCTAGTGATGAACACGCAGGGCAGGGGGCTGTGCCACCCACTACCTTGCAGGGTATTCCTGTAACCTCCATCATGCTGCTTATATCTTCACTTATTTGCAAATAGGAATAATAATGGTTACGTGGTACCGCTAGCCTAAGAGTTTTATCATCTAGCCCAGGTTTCCCCCCGCCTTCAAAGAGGAAGATATTTTGTCTGATATTATCTTTCAGATAAGAAAAAGAATTTAGGGAGACTCTCTTCTTTTATCAGTCTGAACATGACAAAACCTGGAGTGTTCTCTCTGTGCTACCAGTATATATTTCCTGCTATAATGGAGAGCTGTCTGGGTAAAGGAGTGAACTGCAGAGATGCATCAGATGCAGCCTGCCATTTTTTAAGTGGTAATACACTAGTAAGACTATTTATGTAAAGATAGATTAGCTAGGATCACTGGAGTTGAAAATTCTATTTTCTCCTAATGAACTGGACATAGAAAGCTATCAAATCATATTAAATTATTTAGTAGGAAATGTAGCTTGCATTCCCCTTCATCTCTGGAGACGAGTGAAATGTGAGGTCTAATCTAATTTTCAGACAGTATTCTCAAAAACAGTGGGCTTTTCATGTAGGCTTTACTATGATCTCTCAAAGTATTTCAAAATGTCTTTTTTTTTTTCTCTTGCTCTTGTTTTGCTTTGCCAGTGGGTTCAGCTTCAGTCTTATGAGAAGTTACATACTGTTTCAGAAAAATACTGACTACTGACTGTGAAAATTAAAGTAAATTTCAAGAAATTTCACTAAATGGGTCATGATCTTGGGACTATATGTATTAAGATACCTGGAACAGAATTCATCATGAGATGAAAATGAGTAGGTCCTATTCGGACTCTTTGTACTCCTTCTTTTCTCCATAAGAGGCATGATTCCTTATGTAGAATTTAGCAAATTGTTCCTGGGACCAATCGGCTTGTCAGGTAGGTGGAGAATAACTATTTATAGTCCTACCCAGAGAAACTGGTCTGTCTTTTCATCTCTTTAGCTGCTTAACCTCCCTCTCCTATTTCCTAAGTAAAGAATTTCCCAGCATGGAGGAATTTTCTTTGGAGGGTCAACACAACAATCAGTGATGTTGGTTGGCATGCAAAGTCTAAAGACAGTATGAGATTGAATGGAAGTGCAGTCAGAGGGAAACCTCCAAAAGACTCTTCCTCTGTTGCTTTCAATTTGCAGCAAACTACAAATTCTGAGCAAATATGTAAAGGTGAGAGGAAATCACTTGAAACGCTTCCATCCATGGCTTTGCAGCTCATGGTCTCTATCAATGTTTGTTGTACAATGCAAATGAAAAGAAAATAGATGGAACGGCCAAATCCCTCTCTCTCTTTTTTTTTTTAATCTGTTTTGTTGTGTTTCTGCTTTTAAAGATAAGCCATGCTGATCTCAAAACACATGACCAAAGGGTCATCAGGTGTTGCAAAAATTTGGAAAGGAATTTGAATTGGAACTGCAAAATAAGGTTTGGGTTTAGTACAGTGCTGTGGGAAAACATTGCCTTTCAAGTTTCAGTAACCCTTTGCTGTCCTCATGCACCTACTTAGGGGGTTTTGGGGTTTTTTTTTTGTTTTTTTTTTTTCTTTTAAATTTAGCTTTACCAAACAGGTCTGACTGATAGTGATTTGGTAAAAAGTTCTGAGCGCCACACTCCAAAATAACTTTGAAATCACCAGGCTTCACTCTTGTGTTAAATCATGCGCCATGCATTACACCCCTCCAGCTACTAAAACAATCAAAAGCTCAGGCAAGTCAATGAATCCATCGACCGAGGTTACTCATTCATTTCACTGCAGTCCCCAAACCAGAACCAAACACATGCAATATTTCACTGCAGGTCTCATCTGGGACTCTGCGAACTTTCTCCTTTAGGAGCGCTTTGGGTCTGCAATCAGCACACATTCATCCATTTACCTTGATGCTCTTGAGATCAATTGCAGGTTCTTTGGGTTTAGCTGGTGCGGGTGCTGGCGCTGGTGCTGGCGCGGGTGGTGGTCCTGCCGCTGCCGCTGGTTTCTTTACGTCCTTCTTTGGTGCCATTTTGTGTTGCTTAAACTTGAAAGTAAAGGTGCCCCCCCAAAAAAAACTTAAAAAAAAAAAAACAAATCCAAAAAAACCCCCGAACCTTAAAAGTGATTCCCAGGAGAGGAGCAGTGGTCAGAATGAGCTACAGCCTGTGCCCTGGAGGTGGACCTGATGTGCTAAACTCTATAAGGGCATATATATATATTTCACTTAGTGCCTCATACAGTCCTGACACATGCAGCTGGATTGGACAGCTTGCTAATCAAGGGGGATGTCATTCCAGCTCGAGCTATAAATGGAATATAAGAGTTCAGGGCTTCATAAGATCAAGGGACTTCAGTGGCGTTTTCCCCCACCTCTTTAAAAACCCCAACCACCTCCCCTGTATTTGTTTTTTAATGTGTGCAAAGGAGAGGGAAATATGACAAACCTAGTTTCAGATCTGCTGTTGACATTCGGTCATGGATTGGACAGTCCTTTTTCTCATCAGAATTTCAGTTCTGCTTAAGTAATTAATCTTTCTTTCCTTCCCACCCCTTTTTCCCCTGCCTGTGTAGCGCTCCAGGAGGATTTGGTTTCAAGCAGGAATTTTGACTTTCATGGCTGGGAAGATCATCAATTTCCAACCTCATTTGCCTCTCTCCCCACAGCCCCTCACTCCTCCTCTGCTTCCTTCTTTTACAAGGAAGTGTTGATCAAGCAAAGGCTCTGGCTGTTTAAAAATAAAGCAGACAAATATGGAAAACACTGCAGTACCTTCAGCCAAGACATCTCTCCCAGACCCTGAGTGTCTTTCAGCTGTTCTTACTATTCATTCCTATCATGTTAAGACTGTGTTTAAAATTGAAAATTGCTTCCTTTAATCTTTTCCTTTGATTTTCTTTTTCCTCTCCTAGGGATAAGCTGAGCCCTGATAGAATAGAGATCAGCTGGATGTTATGTTTTCCCACACAAAAGGTTTCCTTTTGTAACGTATTTATGATTGGAAATTAGCCATCAGGCAAGGGAGGCACGTCTATTTTCACCTTGTTTGCCTGCCCATCCTGTGACTCTTGTTTATCTTTCCATCCCTCAGTCTCCTGATGGACCTCCCTGCCTCCCCATGCTCTCTGGGAGATGCAACTTACAGGAGAAGATGGCTTTTCTGTTTTCAGTAGACTTTTTCTATCACAGCAAAACAGCTCCTAACTCTTTCAAACCTCATGGTTCTCCCGGGTCCACATGACTGAGATTTTCTGCAGAAAAATGCAGGACTGCTGGTTGTTCCTCACTTTTCCAGCAATCTTGCTCCCATTTACTCTCCAGACTCCTGAAGTTCTGTGCTAGTAAGAGCAAGGCTTTTGATGGGGCCCTTATTTCTGTCTCATGAACTATACTGTGCAGTGTTTTGTAATTAGAAATTTAGTCTGAAGGCCTGGACAGACACTTTGCATCCAAAGTCTGGCAGGGTATCCAAGCACTTGCATTTTAGATTAATGTGTTTTAAGGACAGTAAAATTCCAAAAATGCACACCAAAAAAAGGGATAGAGAGTGGCTAAAGGTATATTTTCATATAAGAAAACCTGTGCTCAGAGCTCTTTGCTACAGCCCATGACCTTGAGCAAGAGACGTTTTGGAAGTTGAGTCATCTCTTTTGAATCAATAGACCTATACTGATACACACAATTTGAAGCCTTGGTTCAATCTCTGCTTTAGAGAACACAGACCAGGAGAGATTTTATTTCCTTTTTTTCTGCCTTTAGTTTTGTGAATGCTTTGGGACAAAGAGCCTGTGATTTATGAGCTCTGCTGGCTGTCTTCAAGGCACTTGATGGAAGGATCCCTGCTCTGCTGGTCTGCCTGGGAAGGCAATGGCATGGACTCTCCTGCACCACTGCAGGTTAGCAGGAGCCTGCAGGCTGTCATCCCTGAGGGGCCTGATGAGGGCATCTCCAGTGATGCTGATGTTTTATGTTGTGCAAACCAAACCTTAGCAAAATCCACCAGTGGAAGTGGATCCTGGAGGTATAACTTGGTATGGAAATAGTCTAAAATAATTTTTATGCATCTCTACATCTATGAGAACTTTAAGTAATTGCAAGAAAGAACCGGTGAGGATCTAATAATTTGTACAGTCACCTGAGGTTTGCAATGAAATAAGCCTGAAAGCCACCATCAAATATATTTTAAAAGGAAGGCAGGCTTTCAGAAATGAAGCATGAACTTAGTGCTGGCTCTGCACAGTGTAGCCTGAATGCAGATGTGCCTGGACATGCTTCATGCTGCCAGAAAAGGAGGTTTTGTGAGGAGCTGTCACAAAATAATTGTATATTGATCAGGTGAGAAGATAAAGAGGTGCAAAGGAGGAGGAGGATGGCAGGTCCTTATTTCAATTGCTGGCTTAAGGATTTGGATCTAGTCAGTTTTCTGGGCTTGGGACACCATGGGATTATCTGCCTGGCAAGTTTGGATGTGTCCCAAGACATCTCTGGGAGTGCGTCGGGTCTGCCCCTAGGGAGCAAAGTCATCCTGGGTGAAGCAGAGGAGATGTGTCCCTGTGCTCTTGCATGGGAGCTGCCGTTCGCAGGTCTCTGGCGGTGTTGTACCATCTCGCCCTGGGCTGCAGAGCTGGTTCCAGGGGCTGCACCAGGAAGGCTCCTCTTCCACTTTT